AAATAAAAAATATATCTTTAATTTATATTTTAAAAATATAAATAAAAAATCTTTAATTTTTTTAAAAAATTAAAGTGCAGTCTGCAGTGTGTGTTGATATATCTTGATAGTGAGGCCCACCCCACTGTATATTTCTGCTAATGGTTAAAGTTGCTGAAATGAGGAAAAATTGAGATGAAATGACAGTAGTAGTACGGTTTAGCAGAGACGGCAGAGGTGGCGCAGATGACACCGTTGAAACAGTAATCAGTAGCCGGTAGGAGGTGAGATGATGTTCCCTTCCTCTGTCCCCACTTATTAATCCGCACTCATTGGCGCGCGTGGGCCGGTGTTTCCCTGTCTGTACACCCATTTCTGTTGCATCATTAAAAATCCAACCTTTAATGACTATCCGGTACCATACCCACAAAAAATTAGATAAAACCCCATTCTGTCCCGTCTCCCCCTTCAAGTTTCCATTCCATTTCACCCTCGCACCTGGAAAGTTCTTGTCTAAAGACTATTGCTTTCTTAGACTGCTGCTGGGTAGAGTTGGTTCTCTAGCTGAAGCACCTCGAGAATTTAACTGGGTTGGGATTGGATCTTGGGTTAGAGCTACAGGTTCGAGGAAAATCGGGTTTTTGACTTTGTAGCCGAAGCTAGAGGCAAGTGGAAGCGGTGCTACCCATTTCTGTTTTTGTTTGCTTTTTTTAATTCCTTTCTTTTTTTTGGTTGTTTCTGCTTTGAATTTGTGAAAGGAGAATTTTAATGGGGTTATGTTTTGAAATTCGCGATTTGCTTTCCCTGTTTTTCTCACCCTTCTTGGATACTGGTTTCAGGTTTCTGTTTAAAAAAAGTTGGGTGCTTTATTGGTATCTGGGCATAGCTGCTGATTATTTGGTCTTCCTTGCTCCTATTAAGTTTTGGGGTCAAAGGGTTTTGGCTAGGTTGTGTGATTCTTCCATCTCAGCCTTGGTGTTGGGGTTTCTAGTTTGTTCTAAAATAGTAGTTCTCAGTCTGTGCCTGTATAGAGCTGGAGTTGTGCTTCTGAAGCAGTTCATGTTCCTGTGAAAGGATTGTCTTATTTGCTGTTGGTTTCTTGTTTTTTGAGAATCTGTGTCAAATTAAGTTGTAGGCAAGTTCTATATTGGTGGTTGTTCCCTTTCAGCTTTGGCTTTTTTCCTTCATTTTGAGAGTAAGTCTCTGGCTTCTGGATTTCTTGATATGTATATAATTTTAGTCATTTCTGCTCAGATTTGGTTGCAGCTTGGTTTCCGTTCTTGCCTTTATACTAGTCCAGAGAAATATCTTGCTTGAGAACTTGAGCTCTGTGAATTTCTATTTTTTTCGTGTTTAGGTTAGGGGTTTGCCATATGAGTTGAGTTCTGAACATAATAGAAGTTCATAATCAGCAAGTCTTCTGATGAACTAGATGAATTGATTTTCTAGGGCTATTATTGGGAATTGGTTTTAGTGTAAGTTTAGGTTCTATCTATAAACCATAACAATTTGGCTAAGTTTCTTAGCTTTCTGCCATGAAAATTCACTCCAGAAAAGATTAAGATCCTGTTTTCTAATTTTGCTTCTTCTTTTTTTCTTTTTTTTTTTTTTCTTTTTTAAATGGACATTTCTTCTGCTTTGCAGGTTCAGCTTCTTGGTATTATCATGGATTCTCCTCAGTCTGTTGTGTCACCATTTAAGAGCTCTGTTGTAGCTGAGCATGAGAAGCAGAAATCCGATTTTTCCACTCATGGGTCTGGTGGCTTATCAAAGGGATCTGAAGTTAACGGAAAGGAAGTTGTAATGTCTAACCTGGAAAACGTTGGAGTTCTTGATGTTTACGTACACCAGGCTAGGGACATCCATAACATCTGCATTTACCACAAGCAAGATGTCTATGCCAAGCTTTGCTTGACTAGTGATCCTGAATTTGCAGTGTCCACCAAGATCATAAATGGTGGTGGGAAGAATCCAGTGTTCAATGAAAACCTAAGTCTCAATGTCCGAACTGTTGAATCCTCCCTCAAATGTGAGATATTCATGATGAGCAGGGTGAGGAACTATCTTGAAGATCAGTTGCTGGGATTTGCATTGGTGCCTTTGTCTGAAGTACTCATGAACGAAGG